TCCAGACGGGCCAGATGCAAGAAGCTTTAATAAAGCGAAAATGGAATTGTCTCAAGTCTTTGTGCCTGGTCAATCATATTTCTGTTCCATTGTTATATTTTGTCTCCCCGTTCTCTCTGTAATTCTCTAAGCATTTCCAGATTAATCAGAGAATTATTTTTGGGAAATTAATATAGAAAACGAGAGAGAGAAAATACTTATGTGCTTACTGGAAAATAAATTGTTTTCCACACTACCCCGAGCCATATACTCATATATCAGCACCCGTTGTTCATCCTCACAACAATATCCGATGAGCTTTACCAAATTTGGATGAGAAAGCTGCCCCAAAAATATGACTTCGGCCTAGAAATGCACAAATCAACCTCTTAATGAAACTGATCTTTCTTTTAATCTTCTTAGTGAGTTAAAATACAGAACACCAAGCTTACCAGCCATTCTCTGTGTCCTTGATAACTGTTATCACCGTCATGAACTTTAACAGCTACAGGAAGGGGGTCAATCCCCTCTCTTAAATCCTCAGTAATGAACCCCTTATACACACTTCCAAATCCTCCCCCACCCAACATGCGATCTTGCCTGAAGTTTGCAGTGATTATCTTTAGTTCACTGAATGTGAATGCAATCAAAGGATTTGCAGCTGAATCACGACGTAGGATCTCAACTTCTTCAGGATTTGATGGTAACTTACTATCATCTTCCCTATGTTTCACTGAGGGGCTCTGGTCTTTTGAGGACTCTGAAGAGAAAATTGAGAGCATAACATGACACGTCTGAACCATCCAAATCCAATCACAACTAACTTGAAGTGCATCATATAGAAAGAACTAAGAAAAACAATTAAAATAAAAATCCCTGGCATGGCAGAGTAGGGTATGCACCATCAACTTTTCGAAGGTAACATGCAATTCTTTTTTACATACCAAAGTTAATATTTTATAGCAAAATGTGTAATCTTTAGTCTCCTGTGCAAGTTTAGTTCTAGATACAAATGTATACAAGAGGGATAAGCTAAATCTTCGATTGTCTTCGTATGGACCAGGAGGAAGCTGAAGATTAATGGTCCCACAAAGTAAAGACTCGAGCATATTGTTGAGAGTTGTCCCACATCGGTGAGGGACAAGGTTTGCTATGTGCTTATATGATCTTGGGCTACTCCCCATATTAGCAATTGGTTTTATGGGGAACCTCAATTTCACATATAACTCCAAATAGAAGGAAGGGAAAAAATTGAACTTTGAACAAGAAAGGATATGCTTTTGAAAACTCGCTAGAATGAACAGAAATACTAGTAAGAATCAAGATAAGATACAAGGCACCGGCAATGTAGAATATCCACTTTCGTGCGGGAAAGGAAATCTAATAATCTATTACCTTTTCAACCGGCCATATGGAAAAGGTGAAAAAGTAGATCCTCTTCATTTGTTTTTTCCTCTAAACATAAAGAATCCAACAAAAATAGTATAACCTACTTCAATATCAGCAAAAACTAATGAAAAGTTAGAGAATCAGCTCAATTTTTCGATTTCGGTCTTTTGGTATATCTCAGTCCAAACAAGTTAAAGAAATGATCTTTTTGCATATGGTTATGTGAATCATCCTAAAAATGCAATCTTGATTTCCATCTTCACAAGAGAGTCTATATCAATTTGATTAACGAATTCTTTTTGAAATTTCTGTTGCATGAGGAGGAACCAGCACATAATTTAATTTATTAATTATGGATCCAAAACAGAGCATGATCATTTGAATGTTGAACCAAGGTAAGGTTCAACTCTAATCTCTCACTAATCTAATCAGAAAAAATAGCAGAAAAAACAATCCATAAAAAAGAAGGAAAAAGAAGCAAGATTTATGATGGGGACTAACCTGACTTGGCATTGGAAGAGACTCTGTAAACAGAAGGTTCCCGACTGTACCAGCAATTCCCCATTATTTCCAAAACCAGAAGAAGAAAAAAAACCAAAAAATCCCCACTTCCTCCTCACCAACCACCCATCACCATTTCACAAGGATGAATTGGATTCAGACCCCCAAATGAAAAGCAAATGAGATTCCAAAATCAGAGCCAAAAGAGTAAAGAGCGAACTTAAGTGGGGAAATTGTTTTCTTCTTGTGAGTTTGAAATTGTTGAAGAATGAGGAGGAGAAAGAGTGAGAGAGAATTCTTCTTCTTGGTGGTAAGGTAATGATGGGGTGGAGAGGAGAGGGATTGAGGTGGGTGCTGGTTCTTGGCCATGGCAGAAATGGGCCCGCATTAGTAGAGAAGGGTTTTTTATTTTTTTTATTTTTTTGGGATTCAAAAATATATTGTGCTTCCTTGTTAGTGCGCAGATATGGTGGATTGCAATTCCACCAATCTTTCTTTTTCCATCATTCTCCATTTCCAACACCTTCTCTCTCTTTTCTTTCTTCCTTTAGTCCACATGCCTCTTTTTTTTTTTGACCCTTTCCCACTCTTTATCAGTACACAATAGGCAATAGCAGGAAGGTTTGCAGTCAGCGGCTGCTACCTAACTTTCATTTTTCTAAGAGCAAGTCCACCCCTAAAGACTTTGTGCCAGCACCCAGCGCATTTATCCACTCAAATGAACAGTAATAGACCCCAGTGAACAGTAATAGATCAAAGCATCTCCACTCCTAAAAATGCGCTGGCACCCAGTCAATTTAATATTATATTATTTTATTCATATCAATTAATATTTTATTATTTAATTTCGTTCTCTCTGCTTCCATTTCTTTCTCAGTGCGTAGACGGGTACGAAAGAGGTTTGAAGAATCAAGATTCACACACACCTATAAACTGCAAAGATCAGCTCGCCTAAATTGATTTGAATTCAATTGGTTTCTCCAATTAATACCAGATTCCATTGGTGTGGTGTGGCGTGGTGTGGTTGGAATTAGGATGGGGACAAGGTCCCAGCAGCAACCAGGACAAGAGCGAGCAGGGCAGGACGACGACGACATGGCCGGGGGTCAGTCCGTCTCGATGAGCGGCAGCGTGGGCTCGCCCTCCAGCCGCAGTGAGCAGACCATGGCCACGCCCGCCGGCGACAACAGTTTTCTTCGATTGAACCATCCCGACGTTCACGGCGATGATGCTGGCTCCCAAGGCGCCGTTGGGTCAGTCACTTCCCTCCCTCCCTTTTCTTTCTGCTTCTGGTCAGATGTACCGGGCAACACCTCAGTCAATTTTGGACTGGGCTAGAGACCGGCTTGAGCTGGGTGCCAGTCAATTGGGTCGGGTGGAGGGGTTTCACAGGGTGCTGGGCAGTTTTTTCAGCTGGGTGCTGGGCAAAATGCCCTCCGCTGGAACTGCTCTAATGACAAATTGCATTCATAATCCATCAGAAGGCCAATTCAACCTAGGAGAGGCTACGTCAACAAGACAACCAGCACCAATAAAATAAGGTTATCTAGCCACGAAAGACTAATACATAACCGTCATAAGATAACAATATGTTCGCATTAAGTTATTGCAATTCATTTGGATCAAAATAAGTCGTATTAAAAAGGTTCTCAGAGAGATTGTGGACACTAGTATTAATACAATTACCACATATATGTGGTTGGGTAATGTATGTATGCAGATATTAATGTATAGGGCAATCCACTCTTGAAGCATTATAGTGGATAATGAACTTGTTCCATGAGCATGAGTATAAAATCAAGTTGAACCCAATTCATTTGGCTTCTAACTATAACTTGCTCAAAAAGGTACCAAAAATGGGTCAACTTAAGATAAGTACATATTAGTTTTGCTTTTCTAGCTGCACCTACAATGATAATGTAAATTAATATACAGGACACGAATCTTGTAGTTAAATTAAATTTATGGAGGCAGATTGTCTGCTCTCCTGTTTGGATGCCCTTCTCATCCCTTCTATTTGTTAAGTTACGTCAACATTTTATATTCTTATTGTTTTTTGTCTTATTATTTCTATAAAAAAATCAATATAAAATGTTGACGTTGCTTAACCATGACCCACAAAAAATCAAGGGAATGGGAAATGCATCCAAACAGGAGGGCAGACAATCTGCCTCCCAAATTTATACACTTTTATCCTTGCTATTCATGGCAACTATTTTTTTCCCCTATTCTCAGGAAAAGATTGATTTTATTAATTTATTTCTCCACTAATTTTGGCTCGCAAGATTTTGAAAGGGTGTGATTGTGATAGACTAGTTAAAAGATACAAACAAGACGAGCATTTATAGTGATTTTGTTAAAATTATTCTAACTCAAAATGATGTGAATAAACACCATCACTAAAAGTATCTTGATTCACACTCACTAAAAGTGATATATGTATATCTCTTTCTGTTTCTCTTGCTAATAATCTAATACTATTCTATTTTTTTTTGGAAGACCTAGGAAATTGGTGTAACAAACTCACACCAGATTTTCTGCACGCCCAAACTACGAAAACAATTTGCAACTCGTCACTTGTCACTTGGACGGCACATGAAAATATATCATGATATTTTTAAAATATTTGAAATATTTTTATGTCTCTCAATGTGTCTGCAGAATACTTGTACTACTTTCCTTTTAATGAAGGCAACTGGGAAAAGAAGGAAAGGTCAATTCCTCCAGAAAATTGGAGTTGTTAACTTGTTAATCACTCAAGACTAAACATACTTAGCAACAAAATGGGAAATGTATGATGAACTTAATTTTGGTCAATCTCCTACCTTATGACTCTAATTGACTTCACTGAGTTTGACAGAGATTGTAACAATTGTTCTTCTTTAAGAAGAAATCTTTGATTAGACTGCCTGACAATATATTTTATTCGATTAGTCTCACAGAAATGAAAGACTATGTATGTTAATCTCTTCTAAAACGTATCATGCTCAAAATTCTTCCATTTTCAACATTATATAGCGCATGCAATTTTTCAAGCAGAGAACCAGTGAATGGTGGGGTCCAATCCCACCTCTATAATAGTCTTTACTCTATATGGTGCATATAATGTTGTCCAATTTCGGACTAGCTAGAAACCCCTGGAGATGAGATAAGATGGGATGATGACCACAGATTGATATGGAAGGAAAGGAACGGAAGAAGGCAAAGCTCACCACCTCTCTCTCTCTCTCTCTCTCTCTCTCATGCTAGCTGAGCTCCACCACTACCACGCGTGGCCTCCAATATCAATGTCTTTGTCTCTTCACAATAGTGCTTAATTAATAGATATATCTAATAACAAATTATGTATACAAGTTTTCTTCCAAAAAAAAAGAAAAAAATTATGCATACAAGTTTTATGGTACATTATTTTTTGGTTGATTTGATGAGTGTACCCACGGTTATATAGTGAAAAACAATGCAAGTTTCTTTGGCTTAGCACCAGGAACCGCCAGGGGAGGAGCGTCAAGAGCACATCTAGCGGTGTACAAAGTATAAAGGACTACGATGGGAGGTGATCTGAAGCAGACATTCTTGCAGATGATGCTTTGCACGACGGAGTTCACGTGATATCAGCGTCGTTTGGATCAAAGCCGCCATTTTTGCCACTGTTTGTATCACTAGCTGCAATTGGTTCATTTCATGCAATGCAGTTGGGCGTTAGTGTGGTGTTCTCTGCAGGTAATGAAGGGCCAGACCCCTCACAGGTCACAAACGTTGCTCCTTGGGGAATTTGTGTAGCTGCTTCCTCCGTTGATCGAATGTTTCCAACCCGAATAATCCTATACAATAAGCTCCTTGTTAATACATATAAATCATGGGTTATACATGGCATTACATGTTAATTATGATACAGTGATGAAAAAGTCAAATTTTAATTACTTTGTTTGAGGTGATACTCTAATTTAATTAACAGTGGGTCACGACCCTAATCATTTCGTTTATATATATTTCAGCACCTTAATTAGCTGAGTCATTCATAAATCTCCATTTTTCACAGGGAGAAAGTTTATTACCACACCTACAAAGGCAAAATTAGCAGATGCAATCATATATTTAGTTAATGAGTGACCTCTCTCTCTCTCTCTCATAATTTTCCATCTGATCTATTAATCACTTGTTAATTATGTAATTTATTAAATTAAAATGCAGGTTTTGCAGGCCAGGGAATTGGATAAAATCAAAGTTTGCGGTTCGAAGAGTAATTCTATGCTTCTCAAGTATAGGACCATTGAGGCAAGCAAAAGCAGCTGCCAAGAAAGCGAATGCATCGGGTTTGATCTTTGTGGAATCTGTGACAAGGCAGGTTGCCGTCGACATCATCCCCTCAGTCCATGTCAATCTTCCATGTAAGTCGCTCTCCAGCAGCGCAGTTAACTGCACTTTTTTAAAATATAGATATGTTCTCGATATTATTGATATTGTCAGTACTTCAAACTAGTTGTTGGTAATGTTGTCGACAAATTTGACTGCACTTAAATTCGTGACATGTGTTAATACTGTGTACTATACCACAATACCACGCACGAAACCTGTTGTGCGAAGAGAAGCAAGTAAAACTATTATCGGTAAGTCTCCAGCGTACTTGTCTTCAAGAGAACCAAGCTCACTTGCACCTGATATTCTCAAGGTATCAATCTGCATCACCCTGCGTGTATATATACCATAAGATGTACTTCTATACAGCCGATCATACATACATGCATTATACAGTAACAGAACATGATCCACATTCCCACCTTGACACATTACAAACAGCCAGACATAAGTGCTAGGGGTAAATATATTGGCAACATGGGCTCCTCAAACATCTCCCAATTTGACACTTGATGACAAACTTTCCGTGAGCTGGAATTTTCCGTCGGGAACATTAATGTCATGCCCTCATGTGTCCGGAGTCGTTGCCCTTATCAAATCTGCACATCCGAATTGGTCTCCCGCAGTCATTAGGTCTACTCTCATCACCATAGGTACGTGTTCAGAGCGTCTTACGTTGGTGATTTTAGTCTTGCATAAAGTGTTTAAAAAATGGTTTTGACTGGATGCTCACATTTTGTTAGTACTTGCATATAAAAACAGCCATTGATCATCATTCATGTTCAATTGTCACAACAAACACGAGGGACACATCCTTTGACAGCATTCTAGCGGATGGATCAACGAAAGCCTCCATCCCCTTGACATTGGTGCCGGCCACATTGATTGACCCCATCAAACCGATGGATCCAGGCCTCGTTTACGGCATGAAAACAAGCGAATACGTTCTATTCCTCTGCAACATTGGCTACACCGGTGACCAAATCAATCAGATTTTCTTTGCTCTCCCGGAACTGACACAAGCTGTCCACAAGTACCAACTTCAAATTTTCAGCATAAAATACGCCTCCATCACAGTTTCCAATTGCCAATCTCCAATCCACCGTGACGATCAAAAAAAGCGTCCGCAACGTGGGGAAAACTAAGAATGCGATTTATTTTTGTACCGTTTTGGAAACTGATGGAGTAGAGGTAGAAATATGGCCTATAGTTTTTATATTTTCATAGTTAAAACTAGAAAATACATATTATGTGATGCTCAAACCACAGAAAAAGTCTCAAGGGAGATATGAATTTGGAGAATAGATTGGTTAGATGGCTTCCACGAGGTTAGGAGTTCCTTGGTTGTATCTATCAACACCATTTACTGTGACTCTCATGAATATTACATCATTGACACTCATATAATCGTTATTTAAGCTCATTTTAAATGTCGTTTGACACTTTAAAAAGTTATTTTATGGTTAAAGTGCATGATGACTTTTCATCAATATCAGCTCACTAAATTTTTAATACATGTTCTATCACACATATGTTCTTTTTTTTTTTTTGTCAAAATCACACATATGTTCTACTATTACTGTTTTTGTTTTTTGTTTTATGTTTTTCAATTCTAGGGGATAAATTTATTAGAAAAACTAATGAAAAATGTTTGAAAACTTTGAGTTTTAATGATAAGGATAAAATGAAGGGTAAAGTGAATTGTACCATGATTGATTTTTTAGTGTAAAAATATGATTTTTCGTTAAAATGAACAGTACCATAAACTTTTGGTTAAAATTTCCAAATTTATTTGTAACTTTTCCATCATATAGGCAATAAAGTAATAAATAAAATGTCCTAAGTTGTGTTTGATGAATTACTTTGTCTTTTTTGTTCAAATATGAGTTACTTCGTCAAACATGACGTTTGGGCCATAATACGGATAGAACTTTTGTCAAACCGGCTGTATACGCCTTTAGAGAGGCTCGGGAGATACCATGGATAGAATCGGAAAAAACATACAATTCCAAAAGCCCTATATTTGTGTGTGTGGTCGCACAACTACATGATTTGACATACAAACTTGAGAATTTTCCTCTATTTTACTTAGAATTGAACTGAATAAGTTATATATTAACCGATTTTATGGGTGAACTTGGCCAAATTGCACCCACCCCACCTCTATGGAGGAGAATCAAGGTTATGTTACATGGAGCAAAAAGTAATTATAATGGGTTTTTATCACAAATGTTATTTGAAATTGACCCTCATCATCAAGATGGTCTTTGAAATTTAAAATCAATCAATGTAGTACCTGAAAATAGGTGTTGCAAATCAATGTGGTCATTCCGTAACAATTTTGTTTAAGTGCTGATGTAGCACATAAATGGGCCTCATAACTCCTCTTTTCTCACAAATGATCATTAAAATTGATTCACGACATTTAAATGGTCATTGAAATTGACTCGCGACATTAAAATGGTCATTGAAATTGACTCGTGATATCAAAATGGTTAATGAAATTGAAAATTGATCAATGGTCCCGCAAGTAAGTGTCTCAAATCAATGTAGTCATTTTGTCAAAATTTCTGTTATGCGCTGATGTGACACATAAATGGGTCACATAAGTCTAATTAAATTTTAAAAAAATTACAAATATGCTTAATAATTTAATAGTTAATAAAAAAATTGTCAAAACCCAAAAACATAGTCCTACAATCACCTCCGATCCCAGTCCACATTTCTCTATCTCATTCGCTCTCTATTATCTAAAAAAAAATTCAATACACCCATATTACACTTTGATACCCTTTATCGAATTGAACCTGGATCAATATCACCTTTGGTGATGGCTTGGCCCATTGGCAATGACTACTGGGACATCACCATTAACATTTAGGCAATCAGCATCCTCACAACCTTAATCTTGGAAAGCTTGTTCAGCGCTTTCCTGGTGGTCTAGTGATGCAAAGAACGACGAGGTCTGCCTTCAGATAATGAGGTTGTAATCGAGGTGCGTCTATTGTTGGTTGAATAACTATTTCCACAACCCCTCTTAGGCCTTAGTTAAGCCTTGTGCATTTGAGAATTTATGGAAGGGATCTCTCTTTGGAGTAGGCCCTACTATAACAAAAAAAAAATATCATTGTGCGAAAAGGTATTTATACAAAATTTTAATTAATTATTAAATCAACATCATCACATAATATTTTTTTTTTACATAATTGTGGCGAAATGATCATATTGATTTGCGACACCTATTTTGAAGAACTACATCGATTGATTTTCAATTTCAGGGACCATATTTATGATGTGGGTCAATTTCAATGACCATTTTGATGGTGTCGGTCAATTTCAGTGATAAAAACCTGTAAATCTTGTGGGGCCCATTTGTGTGTCATATCAGCACTTAACAAAATTGTGACGGAAGAACCATATTGATTTACGACACCTATTTTTAAGGATTGCATTGATTGATTTTTAATTTCAGAGACAATTTTGATTAATTTAGCTTATAGTAGCTTCACAACCCATAGAAGAATGGTCGTTGGTAAACTCATGAAAAATCAAGAGGCAGTCGTTGATGTCTAGGGGAGGGAGGGACTAATTATAATTTGAGTTATAGATCTTTGTAAAATTCGGTTGCTCACGGTGTAAACCCCATAATGCCCACAACACCCCCCAAGTAAAATGGTAGGGTTTTGCCACATGCCCCAGTGCGATGGGGCATCGATGTCCTTTTGTAATTAGGGTTTTCAAACTCCTCCCGAGAGGGATACATTCAACTCAGATTAAAATCACCGGGCCAATCACTTTCACCTTGACCCTGAAAGACTAAAAACGGCATTGGGGAGTCCTATGAATAAAGGCCACGTGGAAATTTGGTCCAATAGGAGTGGCCCGATGAGCTCACAACGTGACCCGCGGGTGATTGAATGCGAGTGCTGAAGAGGAGCCGTGGTGCTATTTGAATCACCGCTTTTGGATGAAAAAAACCCTCTTTCCAAAAACCCAAACCCTTGGCGGCTGTGAGACCCGTTGTTCCCTCCTCTCTCTCTCTCTCTCTCTCTCTCTCTAAGCATCGAGATTTCTCTCTCCGATTGCTAAAACCCAATCACCTCTCTCTGGGATTTAGGGTTTTTGGTAATACTTAGGACAGGGAAGGAGAAGTAGAAGATCTAGCTATCAATTGACAGCCATGGCCACCGTTGCTCCTCCTGTGGAACGTATCCTAATCTAAAACTTTAGACTTTAGCCATCTGGTTATTGTTTGTTATCGATTTTCCTTATTCTAATTGGATCTGTTCTTTAGTGATTAGTTTTCGGTGAAACTAGATCTTCTCTACCTTTGTAGCTATTATGGCTTACATTAAATTTGTAGATCGCTGTGAGTTTCTTCTATGGCGTTTGTTTAGTTTTTGGGATTGTGGCGCTTTGTGTTGGTTTTATGGATTTCTATGCTTGACTTGTGGTTTTGTAGACCGTGTCTGAAATTTATGGCTGTATGTGCGACAATTCAAGTTCTTGGTATGGATTTGCTTAATTTTTTGAATTTGGTGTTGTTTGATTAAGTAAAGATTGACGTGTGCTTGGTTGAATTGAAGTTTCATATCAGGTGATTTTTGTAAATTGTTTGTAACTTGTAGATGGAGTGAATGAATTGACTGTTCCATATAAAATTCAAATTATTTTCACTGCTCCAGAAGGACCAGAACCTAGATTTTTTTTGTTGATTGGGTAATAGCTATTACAAATTTACAATACACACAGTAAAACAGGCACTGTACATTAGACATCTCGATTGATTTACAAAATTGTTTATATCCTTCACCGTTTGCGTTCTTTAGAAGCAGCAGATTTGCTACAGAAGATGTCATTAGACTCTCAAACCAAGACTTTGGAAATTCCTGAGCCTACCAAGAAGGTACCGTACTTTGCAATGTAATGATTGTCTGTGAATTTAAGATGGGATAATTATTTGCTAAACATAAATGAAACATGAAAATTCGGCCATGAGAATTGGACCATGAAAAAGTATTAAGAAACTGCATTTGAAACATTCATTCATTTACGTTATATATGGTTCTGAAGGTTGATTTCTTTTCCATGCAGCCTTCTGGTAACCAATACGGGTCTATTGATTCTGGCAATGCTGCAAATGGACAGATCCCAGCAGAGCGCTCTGTTACCCCATTGTTACCTGATTTCACGGATCCATCTATGTGCTATCTCCCGAACAGTTATCCATCGACTGCCTATTACTATGGAGGTAAAACTTATGCCTGAACTCTCTGCTTGAGAATGGTTTATTGGTGGATTGTTAGATTCTTCATGAAAATTAATGTGTACATTTTGATAGGAAATTCATGTGTATGATATGGATGGTTTTGTGGATTTCTTTTAGGTTATGATGGGACTGGCAGCGAGTGGGATGACTACTCGAGATATGTAAATCATGAGGGAGTAGAGATGACTTCTGTAAGTTCTTTTTCCCTTTTGTGTAATGTTTCATGGTGATTGTGTTTGATTTGGGTCTAACATAAATTCGTTCTCTTAAACTTATAAGTTTGTTATCTGCTTGTGTTTTTAAGGGTGTTTATGGGGACAACGGGTCTCTGATATACCACCATGGGTACGGGTATGCACCTTATGCCCCATATTCTCCGGCAGGCTCCCCTGTTCCGACTATGGGAAATGATGGTCAGTTATATGGACCTCAGCAGTACCAATACCCTCCCTATTTCCAGCCTCTGACTCCAACCAGTGGACCATACACTCCCAACCCTGCTGCCCCACAAACTGATGTCGCCACCTCTGTAGCTGCTGACCAAAAGCCACTGTCTGTGGAAACAGCTAATGGAATTTCCAACGGCATTGCAAACAGTGGAGGTGTGAAAGGAAATAATGTTTCAGCTCCCTTGTCAACATATCAAAACTCGTCTTTCAACTCTAATGGTTCATATGGAAGGGGTGCTTTGCCAGGACGTGTTCCTACTCCTGGATACCAGGACCCAAGATTTGGTTTTGATGGGTTGCGTTCTCCTCGTCCATGGTTAGATGCCCCACTTTTTTCGGACGGGCAACCTAGACCAGTGACAAATACAATTACTTCGTCAATCTCCAATGGCAATACCAATTTTTCTTCAAGGAATCAGAATTACCGTCCAAATTCTCATTACATGGTATGTTGGTCACTTGCTTATATTTATTTATTTTTATTTTTTATAATCTTTGCTTTGTAGTCTTACTTTTGGAGACTACCTTATTCCACCAGTGGAAATATCATCCGAGTTGTATGGCACGACTGTTCAATTATGGCCTTGGCCGCATATCAAACCTCTAACCTTTTGGTGTGAGAACATCTAAGGCATGGAGGAATCTTGGTATTGGATATCCTTTAACCGGTTGAAGGTGAACAGTCTTCCAATGCTAATA